TTTCGGTTTTCTGTAAATTTAAGAAAAAGAAAGGTTAGCCCTTTTAATTTTCTCTTTAAAAAGTTAATGGTATGAACTTTGATTTTTTTTTTTTGTGATATAAACAACGGAATCAACAATTTTTAATAGTTTTTTCTCTCAAACGTATGGACATCAAAGTTAAAGGTGCAGAACTCTTTTCCATCAGATTCCTCAATTTTTGTATTAGTAGATTTTTGTTCCGCGTCAAAAACGAGATTAAAATTAAAAAAATATAATTTTTATAATATATGAGAAAAATTTTTAACAACAAATATCAAATGGTACATCTCCCATATAAATAAATATATTTGTGCAGAACACTTTCCATCAGATTCTTTAATTTTTGTTCCGCATCAAAAACGGGATTAAAATAAAAAAAATTATAATTTTTATAATATACGAGAAAAATTCTTAACAACAAATATCAAATAGTATATCTCCCAAATAAATAAATATATTTATCTTACAAAATTTAATCTGCACGTTTGAGATTATGGGTTCTCTCAAATTTATTTGAGCTCACCAAATCTAAAAGAGTATCGCGTTAGTATGTAAATCTTCTTAAATTAAAAATCAAAATAAATAATAAAAAATGGAAATGATGATTTTCGAAATTCAAGCATTAATGTTTGATTTGTAAAATTATAGATTTAAAACAAAAACGTAACTTTAGTTAGAGCAATATGAATACAGTTAAACGATATAAAAATTTGTATGATCAATCACATATGGTATCCAAATAGACATAAATATAATTTTTATAAAGTAATTGACATGTAATGATTCATCGTTAAAACATTATGTATATAACGTTTACAATATTACAATGTTATATTTTAGTTAAATTTATATTAGTAACATATGTATTTGTGAGTTCATGTTACAAATTAATGTAAATATGTAGAGATTTTCAACATCGCATATATTTAATTGGAATGTTTTGATTGGTTAATTTAATTGATGTGTCCCTTAAAATCTTCATTGAGTGACACATAAGAATTTTTTACTGAGTGTCTCCTCAATTAATATATCGAGGATTATAAGACATGACCACAAACATAACGTTGTAAAGATTTTTTTGATGAAAAAATAGTAGTAACGGATGATGGTACAACTAAAATTTTAAAACGATAAAATATAAAGGAAGTTTACTCAAACAACTTTGGAAAGTTTGATTTTGACTAAAGTGATGCTCATATTTCATAATTACTCAAACAATATCCTCTATCCATTTTATCTTTATTTGCTTTGAAGTCAAAAAAATATATTTACGAAACTACCATTAATTGGGCATGATACGTAAGCGAAATTGGAGGGAAAATTTCCCGCAAAAAAAGAAAAAAAAAGTCTACCGTTCTCTTGATGGTAGATTTATGATGGGGTTGGTAGACTTAATTCAAGTCTGTAGACTTTGTCGACGAACGGTAGACTTAATATTCGAATGGTAGACTTGTTGTGTAGACTTATTTTTATTTGGTGGTAGAGATGTTTTTGAGTGGTAGACTTAAATTATGCGTGGTAGAGTTAACGCCAACGGTGGTAGATTTCTTTTAGAGTGATAGACTTAGTAGTCGAATGGTAGATTTACCTCGTAAACTTATTATTGAGCGGTAGATTTATTTGTATTTGATGGTAGACTGTATACTTAAATTCATTGTTGTTAGGCTTACATGTGTTTTGGATCGTAGACTAATTTATAGTGGTGGTAGATTTAAAATATGTCGTAGACTTATTATTGACGCAGTAGAGTTATTCAATATTTCGAGTTTACTAAAACAACCTTCGATTGGTAGATTTATTAGTTACCGTGGCGGTAGATTTATAGTGATAAATTTGTATGTTTACATACAATGATAGTGGACTTGTATGCTTACATACAATGATGGTAGATTTGTATATATACATACAATGATGGTAGATTTGTATATATACATACAATAATGGTAGATTTGTATACTTACATACAATGATTGAAACAACCCGACCCG